AGCAGCACTCATGCCATTGTTTTGCCCCCTGAGCTCCAGGTGTTGTGCCAAAAAGTGATCGTCAGGCAGAAAGTGATCGTCAGGCAGAAAGTGATTACTGTCAGCGAGAGCGCACAGCTGCTTTAAGATGCTGTAAACTACAGACAGCTTTAGCCGTCTGTTTGTTGAAAAATAGTAACGCGACCGCAGTTTCTTGTTAGTAACGGTAACGGCGTTGTAACGATAGGAATAGTAATTAGATTACTCGTTACTGAAAAATGTAACACCGTTAGTAACACTGTAATTCCCATCACTGCACATAAATTGCCAGATTCTGTATGTTTTGCAAGTAGAACATATCAACCTATATATCAGAATATGTGTGCTACTATAAATATATTACTTTATGTATTATTATTTATTTATTGTCCCTCGTCTCAACAAATTCACAAGCAGCTAAAAACTTGTCCTTAAGGCTCTTCAGGGTTTCTAAGCTGGACTGGGCTGCACTGAGGCTCGACCTGAGCAGAAGCTGTTGTAGCTACCACACGGGCATTACTCTGATAATAAAAGTGTTCAGCAGCGTTGCAAAAGACAGGGCAGTTACATGTTGCATGCACAAACTATCACATAAAGTGTCTCTGGAAAAAAGAGTGTAAAGGCTGCATTCACTGTATCCTAGCCAGTGTATCCCAGTACAAATGCACATGCCCGACCCGAAAATAGAAATGATGGCAGCGATGAAGTAAAAGATATGTAACACTAGACCGTGTCATCACTGCGAGGCAGTGAAGGGCTGGATCGCACATCGTGTTTCACACATGTCTGAAATATAATTACGGAAGTCGTGGGATGGAAGCAGAAAAGCATTAGAGACATGTACCTTTTATCTCTTGGATTATCGTGCATTAGTAGTTGTGAAATATACATGCCGATCAGTCGTAGTTTTTTTAGCCATGCTATTCAACACAAAGCCTACGTCTTTACGAAACAGGAGTAACGCAGCTTATTTAAGATTACAGAACCACGAAACAATCTAGTATCAGATTAGTAAGTATGTATAATAAACTTTTCTCCATATTTCATAATAATGTGAAGCAAATTCAAAAGGTGGATTCTGTTCATCTGGACGTTTTCAGTGGGAGAAGAGTGGCTGCGATCACTGCAATAGCTTCAGTCATTGTGCAAATGTACTGTTTAGAAGTCTGCTGAGACTGAGGAAGTCACCTGGATGAAACGTTTCTCCCACTGAAAACGTCCAGACGAACAGGATCAACTTTTGGGATTTCCTTACCTGGATGACTGAACATGCATCATGACATGAAGCAAAGTCTTGTTCTGAAATCTGGTGTTCCTTCAACAGGATCAAGTCCAAATACAAACCCAACATCCACAAGTTCACCAGCAGTTAGTTACACCCTCATACCTGAAACATATTCCTTTAGTTATCGTCCCTTTCATGTGCAGATGTTGTTAAACTCTTGGCCACGTTACTAATCGAATCTTGTCTGAATACAGCATTTTTATCACAGATTGAGAAATCTGGCAGAAAGTACAGAGACTCTGTTTTCTAACAACATTTCAAAGTTTCAACATCTTTTCTTGTTGGCTCATGTTATTCATCCGTTTACATTCTAAACAGCATCACTAGGAGAACGTGCTGTCAGCTTCCTTCCTCACCTTAACGTGAGCGTACCAGTTTCTTTATTTCCAGCTAACAATGAGCTTCATCTAAGCCTGAGCTGAAGTTAAAGTTGATGCATATGTTCTGACACTTCGGTCTTTATATACCAACATCTTTGTCTTCTTTTCTTTATAAGATGTTGTTAGTGGACAGAACAGCTCATGGTCCAACACAAAGGTAAATAATTACACGTGGTTCTTCCTATGCTCAAAGCAAAACAGAGAAAAATCCTAACGCGTTAGTAGTGCCTCTTACTTAATGTTTAAATCAACAGTTTTCTTGTGGTAACATTGCTGTACAACAAAAACAAAGTAAGTCAACTACTGCAGTAATCCATATGACAAAACGTCCCCAGCTAAATAAAGAGAAATCACACTTTCTCATGTATACAGGAGACCAAGAGTTTGTCAGAGCCTCACAATCTAACATGAGGTCTGAAAGAACTACTGACAGAACGTAAGAGAAACAAGGAACAGACATTAGAACAGTGAAACTTTGGACAAATGTAATTGTTTTGTTTTAAGCCCCCAAAATGTTTGTTGTTCACACCATGACACATGTAGACAAGCATTCATCCAGAAGACCAATTTTAACCACAATATTGTTCTGTGACGTAGCATCCTGTTTGATTTGGACAATAAGACAGAACATACGTCCAGGCCCTACAAACTCTG